AGAACTAGTCTCCTGCACTAGAGTAATGGGTGGTCCCAAGGAGTATCTTCATCATTACAATCCCTTCTGCGGCCCGCACCGCGGCGAGAAGGCCCTCAGAACAATGAGACACGGCAGGGACAACTATGAACGACAAGGATCCATCTGCCCTGCTTATGGGCAGTCCCAGGGGGTTGCAAAGCGGTGGCCTTCTATCTGTTCTGTGGACAGGTTTTGGCTGATCTGTCACCATGGCAACTTTAGGAGCACAACTCAAACTGAGCGCGGACTCATGAACTGCTACCTGCATTACCGCCGTGTCTGTTGCTAGTGTGAGTGCCGCTTGGAGAGAACTTCCTACCTAATGCACTGCGGCCCCCTCTCGAAAAGGCATTCAAACGTACTGATTATCACACAGGCAAATCATTCTAGTTTTTCTGAACAGCCGGCTTATTTAGATTAAACAGGAAAATGTGGTAACAGCATGTGTTAAAGCCATGTGACCAATACAGCATTAGCACATACTGGCTTTTCCATAACCTTTCAGTCTGTGATGTCAACTTGAACACCCCATGAGAGCGCACATGGGACAGACGTGAAGGGGAAGTTGCTGAGTGACAGCTTCAGTCCCCTCGCCACCCGGACCGCATCTCTCCACGCAGCAGCATTCTGAACAAGCTCTCCAAACAGCAGACCCCCAGCTCTCTCGAAACACAGACAGTTGAAGTGGAATTAAGCCTCCCAGGGCCTGTCCTCTTGGGACGTGTACACTGCTGCCCCCTGCAGTAGGATTGTGTGTGTTTTTTAATAAATTAATAAATTGTGGAATAGCAATAACCCTGGGATGTTTTTCCCTTAAAAGTGTGGGCTCCAACCACCGGCCAGAAGAGGGAGCCCAAGTTTGACAGAGAATGCTGGGGAAGGGGAGGAAAAGTGGCCACATGCAAACTGATCTTAACAAGACCTTCGTCCCACTCTTAGGAAAAGGCACAGTCCCCTGTATCATGCCCTGCCGGGGCTGCCTCCACCTCCCTTTAGCCTCCTGACACCACTCTCCCCCTTGCTGACCACTCACACGCTATGCCGGCTGTTGTGGTTCTAGGTCCTGAAATGCAACACTCAGCCAGCCGGCCCTGGCCAATGTGTCCCATGTGAAAGCCTCAGCCCTCTCCGCTCCAGGCCCAGGTGTGTTCTCGCCATCCTTTAGACCTCCAAACATCACTCAGGAGGCGGTCCACGTCCCAGCCTCACTCAGGCTCCGTCCTATGCTCTCATGGAACAATGTCCCTTTCCCCCAACAGAAGCTGTCTCAGTAGTAATGACACACATGGCACTGACAGGTGTCTGTATCCATCCCTGTCAGTCTTTAAGTTCCACAAGAGTGGGAAGCATGTCTATTTTCTCAACTCTTCCTCTCCCCATAGTGAGCAGCACAATGCCAAACAGCGGGCGTTTCACAAGCATCTGCTGGATGGGACGATTGGCCCAGCTTGTTCCCATCTATCAACACGCCCTTTCCTGTCCCCCTGACCCCTGGTTTAGGTATCGGGGTCTGAGTTGTGCCCCACTGCTGCCAGGCCTCTCTCCAACAGTTTCACTCCCATTCAGTCTGGCGTGCTGTCACCTCTCTAAAATCTAAGCCTCATGGTGTTGCTTTCCCACGGGGAGCTCTCCAGTGGCTCCCTCTGGTCTAAAACATCAACTCTAAAGTCCTCAGGGTGGCTACAAGGACCCTGAGCTGGCCTCCGTGCCCTCGGCCTCTCCAGTTTAACTCCTTCTGGTAGCACAGGCTGTCACGAGTGCTCGACTGCCACGGCCTCATGGTCAGGTTCAGGACTGGATGAGCCGTCCCTCCTGTCCTTTTCTCACAGGGCACCTGGAAGGGTGACAGCTGCAGCAGGCACTCATCTCACTCATTACACCTGCCAGTAACTCCTCCTCCTGGGTATTTACCACAGAAAATGACAGTGCACGTCCACACAGAGACTTGCACATGACAGTTCACAGAAGATGCACTCACGATAGCTAAGAACCAGAAACAACCCAAATGTCCACAGACAGGTGAAGGAAGTAACAATGGTGACGATTCCAAACAGTGGACTACTGCTCGGCGACACAGGAAATGCATCACCGACACACCCAACAACAGGGATGGATCTCAAGTCAGCCGAGAGAAGCCCAGGTGTGTGCTGTGGGACTCCATCTACATGACAGTCCAGGAAAGAAAAGCTTCTGCAGTGATGGGAAGGGATCAGGGTCGGCCTGCACGCTGATCGGGTGGGAGGGGCGTGCGGAAACTTCCAGGGTGATGGGAGCTGTCTTGATTGCGGGATGGTTTCACGGGTGTGCACAGGCCAAAACGTATGAAATTGTTCTCTTTAGATAACGTGCAGCTCACTGCATGTCAATTATAACTCAATAAAGCTAATAACACATACAAAAGCAGGTAATGTGATAAATTATTTCTCAGAGAGGTAAGCTTCCTTTAGAGGCATACACTAGAACTTTCTCTAACTTGGAAACTGCCTTTATGTTAACGTTTTAGTGAAAAGTTATACTAAATAGGGACGTGGACTGTCACTCTATCTGAGACTTACTGGAAGTGCCGCGAGAAGATGGGGTCCGAGGGCTCACAGCGGAGGAGCAGTGTGCTCCGCTGGGCTTACTCCCTTTCTTCTAAAACCTGATCAGGAATATGTATTACGTACCTGATTAGGTATTTTTTGGATACGTTTTTATTCTTTTAAACTGCCTACAATTAGCGGGAAAATGCCATAATCTTAATACGCTTTCTTTTGTTCCCATGGGGAAAAAAGTTAATGCATTTACTATATCGTCCTTCCACCAGGGATTTAGTGGTAAAATTAAGTGAAGTCATGAGCCACTAAACAATGGGGATATGTTCTGAGAAATGCATCGTTAGATTTTGTCGTGTGCAAACGCTTAGGGGCCATATGAACAAAATAACACAAGGTTAAATCAAGCACAAGAGAAAATGATGCGATCAGGCGATGCAGTGACCTGGGGCCCTGTGACACTGGAGGTAGGAGGGAAGACACAGGATGGAGTCATGACAGCCAGGCCTGCGAGACCGCGTGAGCCAGGGTGGGCGGAGCAGGAGCACTTGGTTTCACCTTAGTCTAACTGGCCGGGGAACTTACACTGCTGAGCGTTCCCGGTGTGCTCAAAGCCTGGAGTCACAGAAACCCTAAGATCACCCTCCGAGGGACTCAGGACCAGCGGACCCCTGGGAGAGCGCTGTCCCGGGCCAGCCTCTGGGAAGCTAGCTAAGACTGCAGCGCTGATTCCTCTCAAGAGTGTGCTTTTTACCACAACCGTGCTCCAGGGCTACAGTTCACTTAACACCCTGAATAAAGCTTTGCCCTTTAATTCTAGTGAAGCCTTGTGATTCATTTCTGCTTAGTTGACAGGCTGCTGCCGGCACGCCATGCCTACTGTTTACAGCAAACTGTTTATTTAAAGTAGAAAGCATACACTCTAAAATAATTACAAGTACAGTAGTAAATACATAAACCAGTAACAGTGGTTTATCAGCATTATCAGGTGTTACACACTGGACATCACTGTACACACTGTACTTTTACAGGACCGGGAGCACCACTGGCTGTCTACACCAGCATCACCGCCCGGGTAAGGAACGCGATGCACTTTGACCTTTGATAGCTGCGACACTGGGCAACAGGAATCTTCAGCTCCATATAACCTCACGGGGCCATCGCTGACTGAAACGCTGCTATGCAGCGCCGGCAGGAGCCACTTTAAACACCGAGCAACACTGCTAGGGACACAGCCAATGTTCGAAATCCTAATACGATACCATCCCATAATTGGGGAGAAAAAGGGACCTCTGTAATATTTTAAACAAAAATAAAATTAAAAAAAGAGATACCATCCTATAAAGATCCTGCTATAAATCTCTTGGGAATTTCTTTCAGCCTTATTTGAAAAGGTCCTAAATTACTTCCTAAAACAACAGCTGAAGAAATATATAACTGACACCCAGCAGATAAGGGTTCTAGTTCTAGTTTGGCCAAACCAGCTGTCAAAACTTGTACAAATCACTTAACCTCTATGAATCTTATTTCCTATCCAACACAGGAATCAGTTAATCTCCAAGGATCCTTCAAGCTCTAAGATTTTATTAATTTTGCAGACAGGCAAATAAAATGCCACGTTTTATAAAATATATTGTGCTGAGCATGCTGACTAGACTTTTGTCTACTGCCTTTGAGAGTAACTCATACACTCAGGATAATACCTGCTTTGGTTACGTGGATATGACAGGAACACGTGTAAGTTCAAGGAATGCGGCCAGTCTGAACACACCGTGTGAGGACACAGCCAACGCTCTTAATGCTAACCGCTGGTTACTGTGCAGGGAAGGCGTCCTTAAGCTCACTTGTCACTGCTCTTCATTCACTTGAAATGCATGTTTAGAATGAGCCTCAAGAGCAGCTCAGCACAGTGCATATAACCCGTGACCCCAAACCCTTATCATTCCGCATAAGGCTTCCAAGGAAATATGGCTTCAGGTGACTTGTATTAACAAGGGCACAGAAAGGTTTCCTTAAAGTTAACAATTATGGTGGGAACGCACGGCAGCGTGGAACACCTGACTGCAGAGCTCACAGCGTTTTCCAGCAAGATTGGGCGGCTAGTTAAAATGTGTGAATTTATAAAAGTATAAGACCTAAAATCACAAGTCACTAATTATATGGAGTTTGAGGCATACTGGCTCATCACGGTATTCGTTTTCATACATAAAATAATTAACTTTGAGCTTTTTATATGAAAACATATCCTTCTATTTTATGAACTTCAGAAAATCTGGCTAAAATCACTGAATTCAATTCATTTCACATTTCTGAGTATTATTATAGTTAATCCTAAAAACCAACATTAAATCCATTAAGAACCCAGAAGACAAACCATCACATCACATATAAAGCTGTTATCTGAGCCCAAATTAAGGGCAGTGCCCCAAATAACAAACAGAGATGACTGATTACTGAAGCCAGACAGACACACGTGGCTCACAGCACAGGTGCAACGCACCATCACAGTACCCGCAACAGGACTCTACCCGAGCCCCTTCCTAGCATGAGGGCAGCTAGGGTCTCACTAGGCATAGCAGGTAACTGTGTTCGGCAGCCTCTTTCTTGAGTCACCAGTATAAACACAATGTTGAGCAGAATTCACAAAGGACAATTATGTTTGTAAATAGGCTCATTCAGAGGCTTCCAAATTGCTTAACGCAGGTCCTTGAGGGGCAGGAGGTGGGGAGTGTTAAGTGGGGAAGCAGCAGAGTTCTTTAAAATCTGTATGTGTGTACGTATCCATGAGCCGCATCTAACTTCTAACTGCTAAGTGTCTCAGGACGGAGGGGTCTGATGGGAGCGTAACTGCCCGTCCTTGTCACTGAGACTCATCACTTACATTTCTCATCAAAGGAGGAGAGTAAGGAAGAGGTGACCGCAGCCACTACCCCGAGGTTGGGAGACCACGAAGGATGAGGGTTCTGGGCAGGAGTGCAGGGCCTCACCCCACCAGGACTTGCATCTTCGGGGGACACAGGAGAGAGAATTGGGAGAGGTGTGAGTGAAACCACTGTTTGGGTGCAAACCTCTGAATCAGACCCAGAATGTCAGTGGCTGCAGAGAGAACACGGTTTCCACCTGAGAGCAGGGCAGAATGCTGGATGGGAGTGCCAGGAGCCCAGGGTTTCAAACGACTTTTCAACTGGCCTGAACCTTAAAGCAAGAAAATGACCTCACCAAAGAAATCACACGTTGGGATTTGAAAAAACGATGAGAGGTAAAATTTTGCTTTATTTGTAAGGTTTGGGGGAGAGGGGGGAATGGGAAGCATGCTGTATATAAGATTAAGCTCATCACAAATTTCCAGCGAGATTTAGTTCTGCATTAGCCTTTTAAAAGTCATGTTCAAGTTCAGTGGTTACAGCAGGTATAAAAATGTTTTAAGCATAGTTAACTCCCTATGGAGACTGGCATGAAGGCAGCCAGTCAGGGAGGGTGCCAATCTCAGGCCCACTGGCTGTGCACAGTGCTGGGAGCTGATGGAGAGGGCAGGGCCTGCCGCACAGACCAAGCAGGAAAGCATGTTCAAGTGCTACAGGCTAGGGAAAAGTAAGCCCACAATGTGCATGAGCCTGGCACTGCCCCATGATGCAGCTCATGTGCACACAGGCCAGTCGGTGGTGCCCACGCGCGTCCAGTCAGTTCGGAACCAAGGCCTGTGGGCAGTTCCCGTTCATGTGAACTGTGGTAATGGAGAGCCTGAGAAAACCATGAACTAATGAATTATATAGCAGCTCTGTTAGATTATTATAATCCCAAAAAGCATTTTTGTTTAGAAGGATATTGCTAATCATTACTACGGTCTGTCCTGAGGCCAGTTAGAGTGAGTACGGTTGCTGACAGATTGTACCCAAGGGGTGGTGCTTTAGGAAGGATGGGAGAAGGTAAAGCCAAGCAGAGTTTGGAGTCAGCAATGAAAACACTCATCAGAAGAGTAACAGACAGGATTACTGGAGAGCGTGGAAATGTAATTCACGACCAGCACATGACCTCAGTAACTCGTTACCATCCGAAGAGAAAACAATTACAGTGACGACGATGATGGAATATAGCTGGTACCGAATCACGTTGTAAAAACTTCTCAAAATGTTAAAAAAAAGGAGGAAATGGAAGATTCAGGGCAATAATTCTGTACTTTTAAAATACAATTAAAAGAAGTCATCGTTTCTGATTCAAGGTCATAAATTCCAATGCAACCATATACTACAGCCCTCTGGACCCTGGTGAAAGTGCACTGTGAATTCACACTGCTTCTGAGAGTGCAAGAGAAAGTACATCCTTTCTGACAACTAGGCTGCCCTTTAACAGTCACTTTCCATGAGCGCCACCTCTTGGTGCGGCCCTCGGGTAAGGAGCTCTGAGGCCTGCTGCACTGGGTCAGGAGCCGGGCCCCTCACGTCCCATCCTCACACTAACTCACGCTCTCGGTCTCAGTTTCCTCATCGTAAACTAACACCTGCCTTGCTCAGCTATAAAGTTCAAATGAGATGAACATAAACTTTACTTTGAAACCATAAAATGCCAAACAAAAGTCAAGTATGGGTAGTGGTTCCGCCCAAGCTCGAGCTCACAGAAGTCTCCACAGTGCACGTGCCTGTGTGTGCAGCTGTGTTCACGTGACGGTCCAGCAGAAATAAAAACCTCGAGCGAGCACCAACTCTGTGCGAGGCACTGAGCCCCCTTCTGGGGAGATCCCACTCAGTCTGTACAACAGCATTAGAGGCGAGCACCCTTCGGTCACTGCCTTTCCCATTGAGATATGAGATGCCTCAGGCTTAAAGGAGGGAAGTCAAGTGCCCCAAATTAAACAGAGCTGGTGCACGAGCCTCCTAAGGATGTGCTCTTCCCCACTGGACAGTCCCTACCCAGGTCAAGTACAAAATGAAGAGGCTTGGAGGGCGCTTCCGTTTCGCTCAGCAAATCATAGGGGTGCCTGAGCCACCGTGAGCATCACGCGTGTTTCCACCAACACCCACGAAGACAGTGGTGAGCAAATGCTGGACTTGGAGGGTAAAGAGAAATCTTACATATCAGTAAGCAAAGAGGGAATAAAGAATGTATTTTTTTTGTCATAAATAGTTGGCAAAGAGAAACTGGAAGCTTTAAAAGAATTCCATATCCTTTGGTTGTTATTAATCGAACTGAAGCAGTTTATCAGTTTAATCCTGATGTGGTGGAAATTAAACCAAAGGAAAATTATAAAGCATTGTTTAGAAAGCTACTGTGACATTCTTCAGGCGTTCAGGTTACACAAATGCCAATGAGATGCAGATGCAAAACCAGCGACAGGAAGCACTTCACAGAGAACGACAAAAGGCAGACTCAAAGGCAGGGCTAGTCTTTGTCTCCAACCATCAATTAGGGAAAAAGTCATCTTCATAAAAAGTTTAGTGCTGCCATAAAATGTGCCCCCAAATAAAATAAACTTACCTTTGGTTTTTTGATCAGCAGCCTGAAAAAAAAAATCAGAAACTCTTTAGGAAAACTGTGTAGAATGTACACATCTATGAAAGTTTATAAGCAGATTTTAATACTGGAAAACTTAAAAACCAGTGTTTGCCCAATTCATTTACTAAAATTTATTACTGGGAATATGTTGCCTTGTCTACATGCTACTAACTATGTGCCAGTATTGACCTAAAGGCAAATGGATCTACTTGGGAGCTCACCAGAGCTCTGTATTTTAATAGAGTTTAAAAGGTATACCGTTTAAGCTACAAGATACATTAAGCTAGGAAAGAACAAAAACGAATGGAATAACTTGGTATGTTAAATGCCATAAAATTCAATGACTATAAGATTTAGGACCTTTAATTTTTAACATTTACTAATAGGATTTGTAAGAGAACATCTGCCAAAGCTGCAAAAACTATTTCTAACTTTTCTAACAGAACACTGACTGGCCCTTTCCTCGCTTCTTTGGCGCGGCCACCTTGAGTAGGGCAGCAGGGACGCCCTCTACCACGACGCCTGGAGTCGTGTCTCTGAAACACAGCTCCACCACCTCAGGTCCCTAGAAAGACGTGTGTGGCTGTCGTCCTCTATTTATTTTATAGCACAACAGCTTTTTTGGTGTGCTAATTACAGTTTTAGCGCCTTGACTTCTAAAAGTAATGAAACACGACTGCAATGTGAGGGCCATGGCCATGCAGAGGAGACGCGCGAGGATGGGGCTGTGGGTGGGGCGTCAGCGGACCTTTTTCTGAGCACCTTCCTTCTTTTTCTTGTCTTCCTGCCTTTTCTTTCTCTTTTCTTCCATCAAACGTTCCTCTTTTTGTGTTTCTCGCTCTTTCTCCCTGTTAAAAAGGAAGAAAGGTGGCATCAGTACAATGTCCATCTTAAGTCAGAGTAAGACACACCACCTTCGGAGCGTTAAGTCGGCGGTGCTCCTGGGTGTCTAGGGCATCTGGGGGGCAGATGCGCAGCCCCCAGCCAGCCGCACCACGCCCTCACCTCCAGGGCCAGCTGCTCGTCCACTCAGCCCACACCTGACACCAGCCTTTCATCAGGCGGTGAGGGCACAAAAATGGAGACATAGTTCCTACAGTCAGCCCAGGCCAGCACTCCTTCAAGTATTGTCATCAGAATCATGGGGGTACCTATGACACACAGATTCCTGGGTCCCACGCCAGCCCAACCAAATTAGCATCTTTGGAGGTGTGACCTCTTCAGCACAGACACTGTGTGCTCCAGGCCTCCTGCTCCTGTCCCACTCTGACACGCCTCTCATGGTCCTCCCAATGACATGGCCCTCCCAACCGGGACACCGTGCAGCCCGTGCCTACTGCATTAATATCCCCACTTCCTCTGCACACCGCACGTCCAGCCATGCAGCTGCAGCTGGCTGCCAGGAGGGCTGCCACCAGGCCCCCCTTCCCGTGGGCCGCAGCTATGCCTTCTTCAAGGAGAGCAGACCCCAGCCTTGGGGATGGGTGCTCGTCCAGTCAGCCTTCCCTCGGGTACTCTCCCTCAGCTCCAGGCACCACAGGGTTTCCTACAGTTACTTTTACAAAATTTAATTATGCTTTACATTTTCCCTGCTTATAGCACTGTATGGTTTCTACCTCCCAGCTGCACCCAGACTGACACAGGCAGGCAGGGGAGTAATGGGCTAAGCAGAAGGACACATCACAAAAGCTTAGCAAAACGTCATCACCCACCCATTCATGTTGGCTTTGAATTTACTCATTTTGGAGCTTGCTCTTAATTTGTAAATGTGTTTCATATACAGCCACAGGCATAAGGAATTTCACCCTAGGGTCACTTTGTACATACGGACAGGCCATCATAAGACAAGTAATTTAAATCAGCATGGGGGGAGGGGCTTAGAGAATATTCCTTCTTTTAAACAGTGGTTCCCAGCCTTGGCTGCTCATCAGAATCACCTATGAAGCTTTAAGAACTTCCAATGCCAAGGCTGCAGCCCTCTCAGGAAGTCTCTGGGGTGGAACTCGGGCATTAGTCGGTTTTGAAGTGTCCAGATGGCTCGTGTCGTTCCACCAGGGTTGAGAAAAACTACTTGAAGGAGGTCCATACATTCACCAAGTTTGGAAAACAGTTACAATTCATTATCTTAGATGATACTTCCAGGAGTATTTTCAAGTTAAAAGGTGCAGAGACACTTAGAGATCTGCATTTACAACATTCTTTTTTTTTTTTAAGTCCTCGCCCAAGGGTGTGTTTTTACTGATTTGAGAGAGAGAGAGAGAGAGAGAAAGAG